GAGCCCGGCCGTGAGCCCTCGGCCTTTGCGCCCCCCGCAAACCGGGCGGCGGAGGCGGGGTCCTGTGCTTTTCCAGTGCACCCTCAGCGTTACCACAGTCTTCGCTTAGCTGAGGTAACCTGATTGACGTCGGCAAGGCAGCAGGTGTTTCACGCCGTTCTTGCTCCTTCGCAAGCCAGTGTTGTGCCCTCACAGCCTCCATTTACCACGTGTAGATCTGGTCAGTTAGTTACCCGCGTACTGAGATTGTGAATACACAGATTCAATGGTTTGGAAAGAGTAAGCAAACCCCTAGGAAGAAGGAGATCTGATTTTTTGCTGTTTGAGCCAATGAATGCTATTATACAATTTTTAGACGCTCATTAGTGCAGGGAGTAAGGTGGGAGGATTAAATCTGGAATCATGTCTGCACAAGTGGATACTAAGGGCTTCAGGGGTAACCTAACTCTGCAACACTGAGCCCAGAAGGCAAATTAGCTTGGGCCCAGCTGCTAAATTAATATTATCCGTACCAAAGCTGTCTTATAGCTGATCAACTCAAAAGACGAACATGGGAGACATACTTACACAAGACAGCGTGTCCTGTCTTCTGTATCGTGCTGTGCCAACTTGTCTACTTAATAAAATAGGAATAGACCATCATGTCTCTCAGAATATGACCTTCATTTTCATACTTCACAGTGCAGTTATCCACAATACAAACACTGAAATAAAAGTTCCGTGTCACACAGGAGAATCATGACAAAGTCAAGTAATTAAATCTGCATCTCACCAAGTTTATTGCCATACTGGCTCTTCTCCAAGAGGCTATCTGCAAATGTAAAGAAGTAGAACCAGCCGGTGGTTATCATCACGTCATTTTACTTAAGGTACATAGACATGTAAAAGTAAGCAGCACTGAGCATCCAATTTAGTAATTAATGTCAGTTTAGAAGCACATATCTAAAAAAAAAAAAAAACTATAAAGCAAAGCTGGTTGAACTCCTGTAAGAATCTCAGAACTGAATATGATGGCTAGTGCTAATTTAGAAATTTTTTGAACATAATAAATTAACAAATATCCTCCAAAAAATGAAGTTTAGTTCTTTTTGATAATGGTTCTCTGCATTAGTATGCCCCATGATAAAATATTATCTATTCTCTTTTTCATTCACAGGCACTGGTAATGAGCAGCAGGAGTCAGATTTCTTGATTGCTAATTTTTATTGCTAGCAACAAGGTCCCTCTCAGCTGGGAGCACAAGAAGGACACTGAGCAGTTCTTTGTTACATCTTATAAGCTGAGGTAAATTGTTACATATTCGATACTTTATTTACCCAACCAATAAAAGCTATCCATGCCTCTTAGTTCTACCAATCCCGCTGCCATGTTACAGTATGAGGTAGTTCCACACCAGCCTTAAATGGTTTATCTTATTATTATTCATTAGCTGATTTTGCATCTCTTCTGGTGTTACCTTTGAACAACTTCTGTACCACCGGCTGGATTAAACCAGTTTCTTTGCGGTTCTTCAACTTTGTACAAAAAATAGGGCTAAGACAAGGTCAGATAAGATGTTCTGCTTGCAGGGCGCATGACCTTGCATGTTCTTTCCGCAAAACTAGAGTATAGTGGAAAATTCCTTAACACTCCCTCATTTTATTTCATGCATACCTGCTTTAAATGTTATGCTGGTCTATACTTATATCCCCTTTCATATGAGAAGCGGGTTGAATATATTTGATCCATACAGTAGACACAACAGAGAAGCACAGTTCCTACTGCCAGAATTAACAGCAAAACTATTAAAACAGGTCATGTCCACACTCCCAAATCTGGTAGCCATGACCACAACCATGACCAGTCTGTTGCTAGGCCATTAAGCAACAGCTCTTCTTGGGCTACCTGATGGAAGGTATGTATATGTTATTGAATAACATTTACATCATATTCAATTTGTATTGATTTGTTTACATAAAAACAACCAGCACACACACTCCTTCCTGTGTGGCCAATATGTAATCTAAACCCCATTGATTTTGGACAGCTAATTGAGAGAGAGAGTTCAGTTCTTTTTATAGATCTTTTAAGGCTTCTACAGTACTGTTTTAAATGATTTCAAGGGTAACAGAGATATTGACAATAGCCTTTTCTAACTCGACCGCACCTAGACCTGGAAACAGCACATGCATGAATTGATGGCATTTTTAGGTCTTTTCACTATAGGGTTAGAAGTGTCCCTTTTTCTATATATTGGATAGTGATTGTGCAAAAAGCTTAGTGTTATTTTTTTTTGCTCGATCGGCATAGGGGCTAGGCATCCCATGGTACAAGTGCTGGCCCGTTGTGGTGGTAAACTTTTGTAGACGTTGGTCCCACATAGCCAGAACCATCCAGATGTCAAAATAGAAGGTTTCCCTGCTGGGATAATCTTGTTTCTGTGCCTAGTAGGGCAGGAGGTAATATCAGTCTCAGTGGTATTTTTACATTTTGATAATTCCCATTTGCCTAAATAGATTATTCGAAAAGGGTTTGCACCTATACACCAGCTACTTTAGTTCCAAATGCACATGGTCCAATTGCTCTTATCAGAACTAAACCAACCATTAGTCCCCAAGATGTATGTGCCATTTGAAGAAGAAATATTATAATATCTTTGACAGTTTGTACCGTTTATGCTCCAAGTAAGGTTCCAAGTGCACAGTTTCTCTAGCTCAGTGTCATTTAAAATTACTGAGTTATTCTTATAAGTCCATGAAGTTTTTACGTCAGAATTATTGCCGGCACTTGAACAGTCCAACTGAAACCTTGTTTGTGTATAATTATACCATAGTGTGTAATTACAGTTAGTTTTATCTCCTACTTAAATCAAAAGGTTCATCTGAGGCACGTTAACATACCATGGAGCTTTATCATATGAATGTACCTTAAAGGTTTGCTGCTGAAAATCTGGAACCCTAGGGAGTAAACACGTCAAATTCGACTGATACTAGGCTAAACCGGAAACAAGCTCTGCTAGCCAACCAAAATCGGTGTCCAGGGATTAGGGTGGAATAGGCAATACCAACAGTCTAACCCATTCCCTACTTGAGAGACCCTACTCATGAATTGTATAACGCAATTATTTTCCCAGCCTAGGGTTAATCCTGTAATAGTTATAAAAAACAGAAATAACTTAAAAATCACATTTAAACACACAGCAGAAAATAATTACATAGTGTAACAGATGAACACAGTTTTCCTTGAATAGATTTTCCTGCCATTGCACAGGTATTCTCTTCTCTTCAGTGGATGCTCAAGGAACTGGAACGTCCTCCAAGGAGGTCGCTGTGTTTAGAGCCGCCTTCACTTGGGAGCGATGAATCCAAGCAATGAATCCAAGTTTCTTTACCTGCAACCTTACGAGCAGGATAAGTGCATAATAACACTTGTATGAGGTCTTCCCGTTTTGGTTGTTGCACGTTTTTTGGCTTTATGAGTTTTTACCATAACATAATCACCTGGTCAATACCGGATGAAGGTAATCTCCTAAAGGCAGAGGTTGGATAATTACAGCTTCATATCTTTTGTTTTTAAAACTATTCTGTAGATACATTCCATACTGGATAACAGCTTCATCTCCTGCGAAAAGTCTTGTATGTGCTGGGACAAAAGTCCCTGAGATTCTATCTGGTCTACCAAACAAAATTTCAAATGGGATCAAACCATGGCTTGGGCCCGGATGTTGTCTTTGTTCCCATAATGCTAATGGCAATGCTTCTGTCCACTTTAACTGAGTCTCCCCACAAATTTTAGCTAACTTCATTTTTAGTGTATGTTTCATTCTTTCTACCTGCCCTGAAGATAGGGGAAGATAAGGTGTATGTAGTCTTCTTGGAATTCCTAATGTTTCATATATTGCTTTTAGTATTTCAGCAGTAAAATGAGTTCCTTTATTAGAATCTCTTTCCTCCAGTACCCCAAAGCATGGTATGATATCTTTCAATAAGGCTTTTACTACCTCTTGGTCTGTAGCCTTCCGGACTAGGAATGCTTCCACTCAACAGGATAATTGGTCAACTTTGACTAGCAGATGTTTCTGCCCTTCTTTTGGGTGCATGTCTGTGAAGTCTATTTGCAATTTTTGAAACGGCATCCAAGCCCATGAGCGGCCTCCTTTCATTTTAGCTTCTGTCTTTGATTTAGCGTTGTATTCTGTACATACTAAACATCCTTCCCTGATTTGTAACATGCCTTGAGTCAAACCTAGTGCTTCCCATGACTCAGAAGTTTGGTTATCCAAATATTAGACATTCCTCTGTGTGTCCATCCAGGGAGTTTTCTTACTAGCAGAATCAACGTGATCTTAGGGAGCAATGGTTTTCCCAGCAAAAACAGTATTTCCTTTTTTTTGGTCCACTGCTAAATGCTTCCATCCTTCCACCTCTTCTTTAGGTGTTACTTGGTGTTCTTTTTTCAATTCTTCTGTAGTCTCCACATTACCATTCCTTCTCGCAGCTCCAGTTTCGTGGGTGGAATTTGTAGGGCAACTGCTTTTGCTGCCCCATCAGCAAGGTTATTTCCCTTAGTTATGTCAAAAGTGTCCCATTGGTGAGCCTTCTGATACAAGATTGCGAACAGCAAGTGTTTTTGCAAAGCCTTTAATAACTCTGAAATATGATCTCCGTGGGCTATTTGATGTCCTGCCACTATCAAGAAGCCTCTTTGAATTTTTTCAGTTGCAAACACCGCTCCCAAAGCCTATTTGAAGTCTGTATAGGTATTAGCAGTCGTATTTGTGGCTATAATGCATGCTTGGGTTACAGCTATCAGTTACGCTGCCTCAGCCCCAAAATGTGCTGGAATGTCCAGCTTCCAGCACTATATATTGCGTAGTTACTGCATACCCTGCAACCGTTTGACCCTTTTCATAGTATGACAATCCATCGCAGAACAATATTAAATCCCGATTGTGCAGGGGCTCTTCTTTCATGGTAGGTAGAATGGTCAGCTTCAAATCTAACGTTTCCAGACAATTGTGAAATGATTTTTCTTTGGGCTGCAGTATTTCTCGTAGCAAAGTAGCTGGGTTTAGCATATCACACTGTTCTGTAACCACATTTGATTCAGTGAGCAAAATGAACTCATACCAGTGCAAACGATGGGTAAATAAGGAGTGACCCCACTGAGTCAGGACAATTTTCACTTCATGAGGCAGCATTACACTTAAAGGGTATCCCAAAACAATATTCCTCACCTTCTCAATCATTATAGCCATTGCTGCTACAGCCTAAGTGGTAGTAAAAGCCTTATTGAAATATATCGTACCACATTTTGGGGTGCCAGAGGAAAGAGATTCTGATAAAGGAACTCATTTTACCGCTGAAATACTAAAAGCAATATATGAAACATTAGGAATTTCAAGAAGACTACATACACCTTATCATCCTCAAACTAAAGTGTAATGATACATTCCATAGCAATGAGTACAATCTATATTTAGAATAAAAAGTTTTAAAAGTTCAGCTCTGATGCTGATATATCCTATTTTAAAGAAATCACTTATATTACCTTGGGAGTTTGTCTGGTGCTCATAAACACAAAGTGAGACAAGATCTTTGCCCGGAGGAATTGAATATAAATACTATCATCTATAACAAAATGGTGTTATGAACAGGAATGCATTAAACAAAGCCTATCCAGCTGAAAGCTTGCAAGATAGATCTGGCCCACAGAGCAGTTTTCCACTATCTTATAAAATTATACCTTTCATTTGACAACCGGCTTTAGTATAAATGGGAGCAATGTCATCCATTCCCAATTGCCAAGAAGTCGAAAAGTCTTACATGAGATTAACAACTTGTTTATTCCTACAAATTGCAACATTACTGTGTTTAATTTAAATAGATAATGGAGGCCAAGGTTTATACTTCTGGTCCTATAAATCTTTATGTAATATGTGTATTTAAGCAGCGGACATGAATGTAAGCAAAGTAAAGCTCTAGCTAAAAACGCCTCCCTGAGTGGCACAAAAAGCAGGAGTACACTGCATTTTGAGGAAACAACTGTAGCACAGCTAGATAGTCACAGGCTAACCTGAATTGAATTCGAGCAAGTAATACCAGTGGGGGGCACGTCACAACTAGCAACCACATACCAATTTCGCATTCTTGGAAGGTATGTAGCCTCATTTTTAGCCCTTGCCAAAGCTGTGCCCCATTTTCTTTTTCCTGTGCTATTTTGTATTACATTCCAACTTCACATTACTGTATAGACATACCTGAAGTCTCACTCATACAATTCTTTATTCTATTTTACCTTGTGTATTTTAGAATAAAAGCATTTGAAGAAACAGACATACTCTGTTTTTGTCTTACTGCAAGATCTTAAGCTGTACACTCTCTTACTTGACTTATTCTTGCCACGAACTAGGAGGATCTCCATGATTCTCCAGCAGCATTTGTCCATACAGATCTAAATATTATATGCTCTCCAACAGATTTTCTTTGCTAGAGTTTGTATCTATCATGTGCAGAGTACGATGACAGCATAGATGTCATTCTATGTCCTTAGCATACTGGCTATCTATTTAACATTTTGTGCAATTGTACTGCCAAATTGTAAATTATAGTATTATGTATTATACAAAATTGGGTTTTTCAGTTCTAAAAAAAAAAAAAACTTTTGGCTTCCACTCTCCTCAAATTTATTTAAAAATAGTTTCTAAAGCATTTGGGTGATTACACATGTAAGTGTGCAAAATGGGTGGATTTTCTTTAAGAACGGAATTTTTAAGTTGTCAGCTTGTGTGTTTTATCCTGCAAGCCTTACTGACAGAAGTAGTCCCAATAATGCTTTTAGTACGACAACAGGAGGGACTACTAGCCTAAGTAGATCTTGCAGGATGAAAACCTTAAGTTGGAGGAGGCCTTTTATCCCTTCTAAGTGTAAGATGTTATTAATATTTTAAATTGCTATTAAACCTCCTATCTATATTAACAAGGATTTGTAAGTTTTAAAATACAGTGTATACTGCTTAATACTTGATCAAACTATTATTTTTCCAGCTGTGTGACTCAAGTACAGTATCCCACTTAGTTTTGTGATTTTCTTCCATTTATGCCTCATTTATCTTTGTTTCCTTGTTTTTATTAAACACTTTAATGCTAATTCATAACACACATATCTTATGTTACACACATACAAAAAAAGTGTCCAACTCTAGTGTGCTGATCTTTATTTTATTAAAATAAGTTACAAGATCCCAAATGCCTCTTCCATTTAATGGACAGATGCTATAGGCAATTTTTTTACTTTGCCTTTCCCTTTCACAGTTTTATATGATGTGATATACTGTATGAATTCAAAAATAGTTTTTTCCTGTATTTACTTTTAAATAATATAATAGAAATACAGCTACTGCAGAAAAAAGTACATACTGTACTACTTGTAGTACTGAGTGAAGTACAGCAAGTATAGATAGCTTTACAGTTACAGAGTGGCCGCACATGAAGACCCACAGGGTCACTGTATTATTGAGACCATTGAAGTCTTCCTGAAGTCTTCTTGAAGTCTTCTTGACGTTTGGTCAATAATACCAAACCAACTGCTGTTTTGTAAGCTATGCAACGAAATAAAGCTTGCTGAACGCAATAAAAAGGAATGCTTTGGAAAGAGTATTTTAAAATTAAGTAGAATGATAGCTCAGACAATCTGCTGTCTCTCTTGATATGCTTGCAACTTCTCAGACACTTCATCTAGTGGTCTGTTGTTAAGGACAATATAATAGATATTTATGAAGTTTGGTTTATGTGTAATCTTTCTCATTATTGCATTTTAAACAAGTGTCTCTTTTCTACATGAGCTCAATAAATGCTTGGACAGTGAAAGAGCACCTAGAGATTTCAAAACATCTGAGAGATCTGTCAAGCTCTGGCAACTCTCTAACTTATCTCATCAAACCTAGTTTCTTATAAGAAGTTGGATCATGTGTCATTTAGAGCTCAGGACCAGGAGGAGTTTGTCTCTGCTTCATTTTCCAGCTTGTCTTGAAAAGACACTAAGGATAAAAATTGCCCAGCAGGGAAAAACTTTGAAAGAAAGCATCAGTTCTTTGTAGTACAGTATATTCCTAACTTGAAACGACCACATTTTCGTGCTTGACGTTAGTGCTTTGGGGCAAAGAGATTGCCTGTTCTCTGAAGGATATCCTGCTATTGAGATGACATGACAGGTTTAATTGTCTTGGCCTTCAGTTTTAATTACTTAGATTCCCTGGAACAACATTAAAATCTCACAAAATCAGAGTATTCCCTTCACCTTTCCCAGTCAGATAAACTGAATTCCAGGCACTCTGAAAGTAGAGGGATTTCCAATTAGACCTTATAAAAATGACTTTGAATTTATTCGAGAACTGGGAATGTCTTATGGCCTTGGTAGAAGTTTTCAGTTTGGCTTTCAGAAACTTTGGTGAACTGAAAGATTCATTTAACTACATAAATAGTGTATACCACAGAAAACTTACTCTCCTGCTTTGCTCCCCTTCTTTAATTAATACTAAATACCCAACTCTTCCTTTAATCTGACTCCTCAAGGGTCGTGATGACAACCACAAACAGAACTCTGCTAAATTAATTCCTATTTGAACAAGAGCGCCTTTTACAGAAAACGGTATGTAGCCTCAAAATAAAAGCATACAGTGATGAAAAATCTACTACAACCCTTGGTAAATTGTCACAGTGCTCAATTACTCTCACTATTAAGAACTGTATCTTCTTTTGAATCGTATCTTGCCCAACTTTAGCTTCCAGTTATTAGTTCTTTTCATGCCATTTGAGGATATTTATTCCAGCATTCAGGTCTGCTACTGTACCACAGAATTCACCACTATAATTTTTTTTTCCTCTTACGTGTTTGTTAAACGTCTAACCTAGGGACTAACTACATTTCTCTTGACTGCCTACAGGAGCCACACTATAGTGAATGAAGCTAGCAAGTTCCAGTGCAGCATAACTGACACCCACCAGTCTACACCTCAGATGTCCCATAACCCTGATCCTTACCCAGCGCATCCCCATTCAGCACCTTACCACACAACTGCCCCATTCTATCAGTGACCTGATATATCCCAACAGCTGGATATTAATAGGCTAACAGATTTTTACCAAAAAGAAAAACTAGCATGAAAATTGTTTGGCACGCTGCCTCTCTGTGGAGTTGGAAGGCAGAGAAATACCACAGCTGGTTAGACTGGTATAATGGTGCCTCTGAAGGTGCCTTGGAAATTTTGGGGCATATGCCACCTACTAATAGGAGGGCTCCAAACTGAGCATTTGCTGTTACAGTAAAAGTCATCTGAAGAATTAAAAACAGAGCAATGCTTCATGTTCAGCATAGCATACCTAATCTGGGTGATGTAGGCACGTGCATTTTATCTCTACATCAATATTAGAACACTTCAAGGAAATAGGAAAACATTATAATGCTGTTTGCAACACACAAAATTTTGCTCCAAAACATTTCCAAAATCACCAAAAAAATACCTTCCGTTGTGAGGTATGTTCCTTCCCTGACTTACATCAAAACAGCTACCTCTAAAATGCCAGAAAACACCCGAGTACAGAGGATCATGTAAGAAAAAGGATATGTTTCGTGGCTAGAGCTTCGAGATGTGAGGTGACCGAGTCCTGCAGTGCAGCTATAGCTTCACACTTACAGGACTCTTCAGTTGTTACAAGACTGCTTGTTGTAGCCCCTAAGAGAGAAAACAGCATTTAGAATATTTATGATATTTATGATATTTAAATCCCAGGAAAATCTGTGCTTCTCCAAAGGCGCTTGAACCCATCACGTGAGACTCCAGTAACCACTGGAATATAGGACGGTCGGGAAGGAGAGAGCGCATCCTCTGTCTCTGCCAGCAGATAGAGACCAGCACGTAGCCAGAGTCACAAGTGTTATAGGTCCATAAAAAGGACATGTGAGAGAGCTTGACTCTGAGGAGGAGGCAAAATTGGGAGTTCCTAGCCTACCTACCTAGAACCTCTCTGCACTTCTAAAATTAGACCATTACTGAGTAAAACATAGATGGAGACCTGGGTGCAGGGCCTCCCCTAGCTACTCTAGTCAGCAGAGTAGAGTGAATCTTCCTTTTGCCTGTTCTCTCTCTCTCACTCTCATCCAGAATATCCAGCACCCTAAAAATTAGGGCACTTTCCTGGGAAGTAGAATGAGTGCGTTCAAATGCCTCAGACTGAGAAGAACAGGTCTCTGTCTCGTGAGAAGTACTTTTTTGACCATCAAACTGTCCACGCAAGAAGGGTACTGGTATCACTGTAATCAAAATCTATTAAATAAGTTGTATTCAAGACCATGACTAAGTTTTGGGACTTGTCTTGAGAAGAATTAAGCTTACTCTCCTGTCAGACCTTTAATGTAATGGCATTTGGGGTATCATAGCAATGTCAAACATGGCACTTCCGAGCATACATGAATGTCCAAAGTTAAGCCTTCGGGGAGTTTTCAAGACAAGCAAGGAGGCATCTAGTGATTTTTAGGCACATGAAGAGTTGGGTGGTGGTCAAAATTAGCCAGTTTGGATGAGTTTCTGAAATATGGGTGTAATTTAAGTACTTACATCTCAGCTTAGGAAAGCATTAAGACTTGTATTTACCACTTTATAAATAATGCAAAAATGAAAGCAGGAGCACATATTAAATGTAAATTGTAAGCAATAGAGTTTCAGTGAAATCACCAATGGATTTCACCTTACAAGTACCTTTGGCATGTAACATTAGCAGTATGCATGCGTATGGAATATCAATCTTGATTCATTAAGACGTATGAACACAAGGCCACTCCCATGTTACATATGGAAGAAACAACAATGTTCAAATCGGCCAAAATAAATTTAAAATCTCGTGGAAAGATGCTATAGTAGTAATGGAAGAGCCAGCTGGTACGATGGAGAAGTGATGAGTCTCTCAAGGAAGACAAAACAATCATTTTTGTACTTTGCAACAATTCCAGTTAATCCATTTCTAGGTCTTGAGCTCAATCTTCCAAGTCCACAGAGAGCCAGTGGCTCAGCTGTCCTCAAGAATTCCTTTATCTCCAGAGTCTGCCACAAAACTGTGGGTGCTCAGAAAGGGCTCAGAGATATATAATGTGACTATGGCATAATAATGTGTCAGGCATCAGCTGATGGTTAAGAGTTCTTAGCTACAGCAAATGAAAGGCAATTTAACCCCACCTATTCCATAAAGAAAATAAGATTTAAGGCAAGCAGCACCACGTTACATTTGTGGCAGAGCAAAGAACAACCATAGCAGCAGCTACTGAAGCACAGCTACTACAGTGAGGTTACTTTGTAACTCTGACAGTAGAGTAAAAAACTTTGAAAGGCAGAGCCTCCTTAAAAGAGGACCTACAATTATGAAAGACCCTCTCAACAAGGTATCGAGAGGGATCATTTGTATATAATACCTGTCTCTTCATACGTGCCTTTTTACATTGCCTACAAAGGCAATGACAATAGATTATTCAATTATTTTTCTCTCGATACATACATGCATAGCTAATCATTGCTAAATAAATTATGTGAGCATTATAATAACAAAAGAATAGAAATATTATACCTGGATACAATTTATCTTTTCAAAATTATTTTAGCTCCTCTCTTTGTTTATCATGCTGTTAATACTTTCATTTTGCAAAGAAACTGACAGCTGTTTGAATTAAAGGATCAAAATGTATCCATTTGAAAAGTTTGTTCCTTCAGTGTTTCACTGAAAAAAAAAAATCTATGAACATACTCCTTTCTAATGCTGCAGAAACTCACTTGTCTTAGAGCCAATGTTGAAACTGGTGTCTCCTTGATTTCACTGAACTTGTATTTGCTCAGCTCCCTTCTTTGGAACATTCCACTGGCTTTATGGCCAATGTACAAAAAAGAACTATTCAAGATTCATCTGGAGGAAGGCCAGTTCAAAATATCACGCCAACATGGTTGGTTTCCAACGGACTGCCAGTAAAGTTTTCATATTCGCATATTTAAATTCTGCAGTGTCAGATGCAGATCGTCCGTGCATTACATGTTGTAACCAAATTACTTTTCAACCAAATTACTTTTCCATATGGCGATCCTCCATGGGTATCCTGAAGTCTTCTGCAGTCTTTCAGTGAAATCTATGATCTTCCACTATTTGATATTCAAAAATCTTGGGCACACCAATTGTCATTACGATGCCCAACAAGTCAGAAAAAAACATGCTAGAGCTGTACTTTGATGCTGTGTTTCTGTATTTAAGGAAGTCCAAACCTACAAAAAATTACTATTTTTTGCAGAATGATGTTTGGCCATATTTGCCTATTTTATACTTTACTCTGACACTAGGCCCTTAGTAACTTGATCTAATGCCAAAGTTATTCCTGCCTTGAACAGGAGGTCAGACCAGGAATCCCCTGAGGTCCCTTCCAACCTAATTTCTCTTATGATTCTACATTACAAAGGATGCAGAGGAACTGTGAGTAGTTTATACCATTCTTATCCATGTGAAACAATAGCAATTAGCATGTTCATGCCTGTCCCACTCACCTGGGAGGAGTGGAAGAGATCATACAGTTTATCACTGCAGTAGCTCTTCTAACACCACTGCTATTTCCTCTCCCCTATCGTCTGTGTGCTGCTATGCAACTTGAGTCCCACACCCCAGAGGACAGACACCCTAGATGCCAAACCTTACCAATCCCCTAATTATTACCACTTCATAAGGAAATACAGATTATAACAGATTTTTTTTAAGTACAGTGAAGTCCTTAAAAGTGTGGTGATAGGTAAGACTAAAGTCTAATTTGAAATATATAACAGCTATAACTAAACAAGAAGGATCAAACTAGTTCAAAACATTACTGAAAACAGGCAGAAAAGAATGAAAATGGATTACACTTTCAAGGAGTTAGTGAGTTGATGGAAAGTTTCTCAAAGAGATTAAAAGGATTTCACACATTAAGGAGGGGTACTTTAGTAAATATATTTAGGAAAAAAACCTCATGAAATTATTACTTGAGCATGTTTTCTCATCTGGATTTAAGGTAAAGCCTTCATAGCAGTCACAGGTACACAATCTGTCATTACTCACACAGACCTGCTCACACTCATGCATCCCTGGTGCACATACATCAGTTCCTATGAAATACATTTTGGAGAAACAGTCATCCCATAACATGGTAGCGTCTCTGAACGCTTCATAAGAGCAATACTTTTCCATTTGGGAACCTGTACTACCTGTACTTTTCTCAGGAACTGCTGAGATATATAATTGATCCTGTCTTGCAGCAGTGAGATGAACTAACTGTCTTACTGGGTGTCTTTCAGCCCTTACTTTGTACAATCTGTGCTCATTCTGACTGCAGCTGCCTACCCCTATGAAGGACCAGATCACTTCCAAAGATGTGCTAGGAAAAGTATCCAGAACAGAGCAAGTTTGCAGTAAGGATACTAGAAATAAATGCTTTTAGAATGTAATTGTACATTTTTACTATAACATAAAGTTATTGACAAGCTAAAGTAGCAAAGAGCAAAATAAAGTGCAGCCTGGAGGAGAGGACATCCTCTCCAAGCTGTCTCCTGCATGGTGGTCTGCAGTTTGCGCTGTACTACAAAGGGTGTAGCTAATCCCTGCTCTTCTCTCTTCAATTATTTCTCAGTTCTGGGTTTGCTGAATGTTGCACAATTAAAGTTTGTGAAAAACAGTGTAAGTTATTAGCTTTAAGATGAGAAATAAGGACCAAATGATGGGTAGTTACTAACACTGTTGCAGATAAAGTGCTGTATGTCTCTTTGCTGCTCAAAATGAAAAAGAGTGACAAGGAACGGTCTTATAACACTAACAATGGCACATGTAAATTTCTCAAAAAAATCCAATATACTAATCTGATAATCAGAGCTATTTCAGTACATTTTCCTAGCTGAGGAGGGTACAGAGGGATAGGAAACAGCAATCTATCCTTACTTGAGCAAGTCTTCTTGTCCGGATTCAGGGTGTAGCCTTGATAGCAATCACAGGTATAGAATAGATCATCTCTCACACAGACCTGCTCACAGTCATGCCTTCCTGGTGCACACATGTCAACAGCTGAGAAAGGCATTTGCAAAGAGAAGAATATTAATCACTCCTCAAACTTTAGACTCTTTATTTGGTTTTAGTAATTCACATTTACAAACATTTCTTCAGTTGGATTCAAATCAGGACCATTTCATTGCATGTCAGCCATACAATGGCTGTTAGCCATGGTAGGGTGTACAGAGTGTGTTTTTATCTGGCTACAAACTCCACAAAGTTGACGTGACCTTTGGTACACTGGCAATACTTCTTTGCAGTCCTAACAGATTGCAAAAGGAACTGAACTAGCAATGACCCAGTTACAAAGTAATTATCCAAAAGAATTTCAGAGAACAAATATCTGGATTTTAAGAGAGTATTTGGCATTATTTCAACTCTAATTGCACTGGATAAGCCACTGTTTTATGGAGTAAAACGACCATAAACAGAAGAGTATACATGGCTGCTGAAAAAAAAAAAAAAAGAGATGTTACCCTGACTACCAGTTACAAAGTGGGTGCTTTATGTGTGGAGCTGATGTTCTCTGCCAATTTAACACGTCAGCTCCAAAAAGCAAGCTGAGAAGTTCCTATATTTGGGTATCTTTGCAGTAAGGAGATTCAGTAAGGCGCAAGCCTTTCCTGGATCTAGGCTGTTTTTTTTATTATATCAGAGAGACCTGGATGGTTAAGAAATCATTAGCAGCATACTGCAAAATGAGATTCAAAAGGAAAAAAACCAAGCATATTTGGGAAAAATTATCTGAAATGTGAATATACGGGGGTGGGGGGGGAGTCAGTGCTATGAAATAAGATTCATGATTGGACTCCAAAAGGGGATGCCAAACTGAATTCATGTTATAGATGTTTATTGCCCCCATATAACAGCAGGTAAGAGTTAATCTTAGGAACAGTATTTACCAAACCAGCTCCTAAAATAGCCAGGACTAAATGTTAAGGAGATGTCTTTGCCTCTCAGAGCTGTAAGACCTACAACTTAGTTGGAAAGACTTGCCTAGAAATCTCCTGGAATTAGAAGCCTAGGTTCAGCACTTTATCACATAAACTAAAGTAAGGAACAGGAGTATGATGAAAGTGGAAAAAAGAAGTTGTGAAAATAGATCATCAATGAGACATACAAAAAGATGAAGAGTAAAGTTCAAATCCTAATTTAATGAAAATGCTATATAAAACAAATTAATTTGTATGTACTATATATTAATATATTCATCCTTAAGTATCACCTATGTGTATGTTCATATTCTTCACAAAAGCCCAGCGCTGGGAAAGAACATTTGTCTCTAGGTTCTGGAGCCCTAAGGCTGGAGCATTTTTTGTGGTCCAAACACGTCCACAAGAAAGTGTGATCACACTCATCATGATATAGACTGTAAACAGTCTTTAGAGCACAGTCCTTGATCTTCTTCCTCTCGTTCCCTTGTGCTGGTTTACAGCAGAGCTCCCTGGCACTGATAGTGCACATCACATATTCTCACCAAATATATTATCTTTCTCTCTCAGGTGGATATGGCACTTCTTGCCCCATGTCTGTAAAAATACTGTGAAGTCCTGAGGGAAATGTCACGTGGTATTTTAACCATAGCAATTATAAGCTTCACACAACTGTAGAAGGGTCACATTTCTTAAATAGTTATTGGAAATGAAGAAAAAATTAAAGTTGCACTGTGTTTTCAGGAGTTGCACAGAAACTCTTGGGTACTTTCTCAGAAAAATAACAAAAATTGACCTTATTAAAAAGAATTACTTGTTTTTAGCTGATCACAATATTTCCTTGATCAAGTCTTACCTGAGCAAGTCTTCCTATCTGCATTCAGAGTGTATCCTTCGTAACAGTCACAGCTGTAGGATCCATCATTACTCAAACAGACCTGTCCACAGTCATGCCTTCCAGGTGCGCACACGTCCGTAGCTATGATGAACCATGTTTTAGAGAAGAAACCTATTAATCCTTCCCAAACACTCTAGCATCTTAAATACGTCAGCATTTATACATACAATTTAATTAGGACTCAAATTACAATTCAACTAGTGCCCTACTACTATCATTATACTATGCTGCAGACAACTTAATTCAATTACTAATTATTTAATGTAGGGGGCAGATATCCATACTCTAAGACAGTATTATACTGTGTCTCATGCAGTCTGATTTTCATCAGCAATTCTGACTGCCTCGAATAGCCTCACACAAAATGAAGCTAAAACATCATACTGAGGACTAGCAGTAAACTGTAATGTGTCAAGGCAGAAGTTGTTGAATGTTGCAATATTAGCATTTAACTACGGCAAATTCAAATTTAACTTCATACTTTCACCCATGAGCTGACGGTTGGCACAAAATGCCAGTTATGATATGTGCAAATGCTATTAAATGGACCGGAGTTATAAAGCCTAGTGAAAACAAAAAACAGTGCAAAAGCACTAGGAGGTTATCTTCGCTCTTCAGAAATAAGAAGAGTGAAAACTTCATCATGAAGAATACTGACCTGCTCTCAAAGAGAGGGATGCACTTACCACTTATAAAAATAGTTACTCTATTCATCTGTTCAAACCTTCTGGATTTAAAGGAACAACACCAGAAAATAATTTTGGGAGAAACTTTTTATAGCTGGTATCACTTTCTAGGTGAAAATTCAAGGATTAGCAAAGCAAGAAGCTGCTTCAGGTGGAAGATTGTGGTTGCTATATTATAGAGGCCTCCATGGCTTAGTAGCAGTAGCAGCAAGCTGTATAAATGCAACTGCGTTTTAATAGGGGAAACAGAGAGGATGTGGGAAAATCATCAGATTTTAAGTTCTCAGGGGACTCACGCTCCAGCAATGGCTGCCTGACAGAAGGGCCGTGGAGGAGAAGCCACCATAAAGAAGGTGGCAAAGCATTGGGCCCATAGGCAAACTGGTCCGCAGGGAGCATTGCCTTGAGGCATCACATGCTATTGGGCCTTGAGGCTACCTGTGTCTCATCAGGGGCCAATCAGAACTCAAGTCTCTTGACACTCTTGTAGCCACGCTCTTGTAGCCCCACTCTTGACACTCTTGTAGCCCGCCAGTGGAGGGCTCCCAAGATGATTAGGGGACTGGAGCAACTCTCCTCTGCAGAAAGACTGCAAGAGCTGGGCCTGTTCAGCCTGGAGAAGAGAAGACTGAGAGGCAATCTCATCAACGTGTACAAGTATCTGAAGGGAGGGTGTCAAGAGGATGAGGCCAATCTCTTCTCCGTGGTGCCCAGCGACAGGACGAGAGGCAACGGGCAGAAACTGAACCACAGGAAGTTCCACCTAAACCTGAGGACAAACTTCTTGACTGTGAGGGTGACAGAGCATTGGAACAGGTTGCCCAGAGAGGTGGTGGAGTCTCCTTCGCTGGAGATATTCAAAACCCGTCTGGATGTGATCCTGGGCAATATGCTCTAGAGGACGCTGCTTGAGCAGGGAGGTCGGACTAGATGATCTCCAGAGGTCCCTTCCAACCTCAACCCTTCTGTGATTCTGCGTGATTCTGCGACACTAGCCGGCCAATCCAGAAGTTGGCAGGCTCTGATTGGTCAAGCAGTGTTCCCGCCTGGAACAGGGCAGGAGGCAGGGGTCTTGAAGCGAGGGGGAGACAGTGCTGGTCGACATACCTGGCATGGGTTCATCCTTTCCCAGGGATTAGTGGTATTTCTAAAATACTCTGCAGACCATAAAATGGCAAGTGAGTGCCAAACTGTATCTTTTAATTAACACATTTAAACAAAAACTTTGCTTTTTAAATGAGGTGTTTCAAATTGTTATTGGAAACAAGGAGAAAGGCTACAGATGAACTCCTGTTTTAAGAGCTGATGCCTACAAGCAGTTTTTCGAACAGAAGCAACAAAGGTAACTCAGAAAGAATGTATCCACGTCTCTATGAAATTTGTACGTTAAAGTAGTCTTCAGTTCTTACCTGAGCAAGTCTTCTTATCTGGATTCAGGGTGTAGCCTTCATAACATTCACAGCTATATGATCCGTTGTTACTCACACAGACCTGATCACACTCATGCCTTCCAGGTGCACACGTGTCCACAGCTGTGAAAGGCATGCAAGAGAAACAGTTCGTTGTTAACAAAAATCATTTTTAGATGGAGCAGATATTCATGTTTACAAATATATTGCCATTCGGAATCAACCAAGAAACAGCGATAGTAATTTAAGGAACTAGAATAAGTGGTAGGAGAAAATATCTATACAGTGTCATCTGAAAATTTTGTTTTGGCATCCAGCCCTAATGAATGCCTCACCTGTAGTCATAACAGAAAGGATATTGATGAAATCAAACAACCTGTCACCACTACTTGTGGCAAACTTAGATTTATCGTTGAGATACAGATGCGCACTGTTTCAGCGAAAGTACAAAAGTAGTTTATCAAAATCTTACTACTTTGTTAAAAAGAGATTTTTTTTTCTACCTGAATACATTTACTGAGGGAGTACTAGATCCTTACCTGAGCAAGATCTCTTATCCGGATTCAGCATGTAGCCTTCATAGCAATCACAAACATAGGATCCGCCACTACTCACACAGACCTGCTCACAGTCATGGGTCCCAAGCGCGCACATGTTCACCGCTACAAAGGGCATTTACAGAAAAAGCACGTCAGTCATTCCAAAGTAAAGAAACATTCATTAATATTTTATGGTTACAAAACTCCTTCAGATCTTGAACTGCTTGCTGGATTAGTAGCAATAAATTGCAGTGCTGTATCCTTATCAAAAAAGTTAATGGCAGCTTCGGCATCGTTTGAGTAGCCAGAATAAAGATGTCCTCAATAGCCTTGACGTTACTGCACCACGGTCAGTCAGGGCCTGAGGTGGCAGAAAGACAAGAGTAATCTGCAAAAGGAGTGGAACTGGGAGAGAGATTTTAAGCATTTACATTTACCATTGGAAACGGGAACTCAGCACTGGCAAGACCCCTCTGGATTATTGTTTCCATTCCCTTTCCGTTACTGGCAAACGTTAAATAACCCCATTTACAAACATATCAATCACTATCTGCTAACGAGCTGAGCTAACGAAATTCTGCTCTCTGGCATATAACCAGATTTATAAATTCCTGTTGCCTTGGAAAAAAACACTCTCATGTAAACTGAAATGTGACAGAAAGCACAAAAAAAAAAGTAAATTACAATAGATTGAGCATCAAGACTAGGAGGAACATTAAAATAATATTAGGATGACACATTATCTTCCCGGGGGTAAAAAGAGTGTCTGCGTACCGATGGTTCAGTAGATGCACCAGCCTGCAAAGAGACCAGCCAATGCAAACTCACATGTTAGAGCTGCAGCTACCCAGCTCCGCCAGGTTTAAATAGTCAGCTCCAAAAGAGTATATGGAGGAAAGTTCCTATAGCAGAGTAGCTTTACAGGCACATGAACCTCCTAAATAAAAGAAAGTGCAGAAATATTGGCCAAACCTAGAGAACCGAGAAACTTAAGCTGCAAAATGAGATTAAATTTTAAGGGGCAAGTTAACTCACCAGGGAACACTAAGGTTATCTCATCAGATTGCAAAAACCGAGAAAATGGTGATAGGAAAAGCAATACGATGGATGGCATCTGCATATGTCTGTTGCTGCGACAGGGCCGACAAAATGACCGTTACAATGCTCGGCTGTCCCTGCGATGCAATGTGTGTGCTAGCTGTCTTTTCCTTCTGTGATGGTCTAACTACTCCACTAATGCTGTGTGTACCAATGTGTAAACCTCTGACCAATGTTTCCTCAAGCCGTATTTAGTTTTGGAGTCTGCTGTTTCTGTAGACCACCTCAAGACATGCCTGTTTTTCTCCATTGACCATAAAGGAAACCTAGATACTAGCCAAAACTTGTATGATTTTTAAATGGCAAAATTCAGATGAGATGAAAAAAGGAAGAGGGAAGAGGAGGAAAAATGGAAAGACAGGCCTGTTGAGTCATTACCTGAGATTTTATTTAGATGAGTGGTAGCAGTATAGATATGGACTGCTGGTAAAATCAACCTCCAAAGCTGTATTGGTGAAATAAGAAGCGAGAAACAAGAGTGCTTGAATTTTTTCATCTATTTCTGAATGCAAGGCAACATTTCCTATTTTCTAAAATGTGGAAGAGTTAGATGTCCCTTAATAAGGCTGACAGAAAACATATCCTCTCTTTGTATCGGCAGTAAAAAGCTCAAACCAAGCCACTGTCTTTTCACTGTGTTACACCCTGGGGAATAACAATTCAACTCAATGACTTATGAACAAAATCTATGGATTACATTTTCAAGCGGAGCTGGGAAGCTGAAGCTCAAGTGGTCACATTTTTGTGGTAGGAAAGTCAAGCTTCCACTGACTTGAACTGCGGTTCGAGGCCAAGATTTTCCATGTCCACGATATTCTCACTTTGAATGATGCTCTCAATGCACCAACAACTTGATATTAGCCAACTATTTTTCCCCTGAAGCTTGGTTTTCCTGTTTTCTGTTCACCCTACAAACAAATTTATTTGGCTCGGCCAATGCAAAGAAAATCCTAGCTGTCACTGGTGAGTCTAGATTTCTCTCTGACCAAACAGCGGTCTGGACCTGGAGAGGACCATTTGCCCACTTTCTTACAAGACCCTCTTAAATCCGTTTGGTGTGTAAGAACCTTTTGAAGATTATTCTGCTTTACGCAATTTTTCTTCATAAATCCTAAGGATGGATTCTGGCTAGTAGCACGCAAGAAACTCAGAGCTACGCTGGGATTATATTCTCTTTGCTTTGCTCTCTTTCAGCTCTCTTTGGTTTATCCTCCAGCTTAGAGGGGGCACAATTCTTATATTTAGGCACAAAAACTTTACTTTTAAGAATAAGAGATTTTTCTTCGGTGCTATGAAAGAACTTCTTTTGGCTAGAATATAGGTGGAAAATTTAGTGCTATTTCCATAGTACACATACCTGTCCAGCTAGGTGGGGACTTGTACCCACTTCAAGAGATGAAAGAGAGGATGTGGTCACATCAGTAACGCAATATGATGTCAAGCCAAACCTCAAGGCGTTTCCTATGTTAATTATTGGGCCAAGGGTCCTGTCTACAGATGGTCCTACAAGTTTATTTCATACCTAGAAAAAGAAGTCTATTCACTCTAAACACATTATTCACTCTAAATATATACAAAAGCTATGGTGGTAATTTTCAGTAAGGTGTTGAAATAGCTAAGTATCACATTCTTGCCAGCCAAACTCCCAAGGCAATGGCTATTGCTTTAATTCTCTCGCTATTGTTCTTTATATCTCATTTTACCCATTAATTCCTGGAGATGTATTTTACAAGTCACTTGGTTAGAAATTAACTAGAACAATCTACTTTATACAAGTTTTTTAACTGTCAAACTGTATAGTTTGATTTTCTGTTGGTATGGCTGTGACATAGCTCTCTACAGGCAACTCTAAATATTCCAGGTACACCGTGCTTTTTTTGTAAATGACAATAATATCCTACACTGGCTTAGCATCGTTAGTGGAGTTCTCACTCAAATCATTGTCATGCAGCATTTTTTCAAGTCCTGCCCTCAAAGAGTTAAGCTAATTCAACCGAGCCCTTAAAAGCTGCAGATACAGCCAAAATGAAGATCCTTGCCAAAATCAAGCCACAGAGAAACACAGGAAAAGGTGATACTCTGGCACACTGAAATGGCATAGCAATGCTTGTTGAGTGAAAGCCCATCCTGAGATACCATGCTATTGTGACCTTACGCTTTATCCTGCACCAGATTTCTCAAGCTAGTGTGGTAATTTCACATGCCGCAATGATTTTCCTGACTCAAGGTCTCAGAGGAGCCCTTCAGCACCACGCTCCCACTCTCCTTCCTTCCTAGCTTCCTTCTTAGCTACACAGAAAAAGAAATGATCGATATGCTCTCCCAGCAAGTCAGTATGTGTGCGTAGGTGAATCGCAGCCAGACTGCAGTGCTTTCTCCTGCACTAAGTGGTACGTGATTGCACAAGAAGATCCACTGAACTCAGTTCTGTTACTCATATGGTAAGACTACTCTTCAAAGGGAAAGGTCATTACTTGGCCTCCACTGAATAAAAGGTTTGATTTGGTTGCCCAACTGATGGCAAAGGAAATATTTAAACGCGAGGCATAACGCATCTCAGAAAGAAAAACTTCTTTCTTATGGAGTGAAACCACAGCAGGAGCCAAAAGAGCATTACACTGCTCTCTTGGAATGACCATCTTACCACAGAAAGTCTCTCTGAATTTTGATGTCAGCTTTTCAATCACGCCATAGGTCTCCACATAAAAGACGTGTTCATCCAGAGGCTCACTGGCCATCATCCTCAGAGACTGCATGTCTGCCCGGTCCACTCCAACGGCATAGATCTCAATGCCAGCTGCCTGGGCACTTGCTGCCACATCTTGAACCTGGTCTTGTGGCCGTCCATCTGTCACAATAATGACCACCTTGGGGATATTGAAGTTTGCCGGTCGAGTACCCATTTCCTCAGTGAAGACTTCGTCCATAGCAGTTTGGATGGCAAGGCCAGTCATTGTGCCAGCAGACAAAGGCTCGATGTGAGATATAGCCTCCTTCATAGAGGTTTTATCAAAGTAGGTCCGGAGGGGAAACTCTACCTTGACAGTGCTGGCATAATTCATGACTGCCACACGGGTTGCTCTTTCACCAACGTCCAGCGTGTCAATCATTTTTGACAGGAAGATTTTCACTTTCTCAAACTCTTCAGTTCGGACGCTACGGGAACTGTCTATGATGAACACAAGGTCTAGCGGCCGGTTCTTGCAAGTAGCATCTGTAAAGAAGGAAGGAAAATGCTTTGATCATCTACACAGAACCAGAGCTCTCATCAGAGCCATGAGAGCTGTAAGCTGTGAGGTTACTCCTACCAGATAAATACAAGTACCCTTGATTTACTAGGAAAAGGCTTAAAATGACAGTGAGCAACATATTAGAAAATCTAAAATATTAATTTAGACAAGTAGTAATTGAACATTTGAAAACTTTAAAAAAAATAGATCCACATTTAAGCCCACAAAATGTTTAAGTATCCATGAAACAAAGGGTTGTAGTTTGCATGTAACAGCCTACACAAAAGTGTAGCAGCGATATGTAAATGTGCTTATTTTTTGTTCTTTTTATAAAGAGAAAGCCTGAATTCCATTTTTCTAAACCACAGAAATCCAGTGAGAAAACGACTGGCTAGATCATGTAGCGAACATATCCTAATAACATGTGCTATTAATAGTAACGACGTAGCAGATTGATGATTAGAAATCACTTCTTGTTTGTAATTCACGATCCAAAGAACACAACAAGAAGATATAAAAGCCAACAGGACCAAGATGCAGATGATATTGTGATAAATGCTTCTATATAAGTTGTAACTGTTTTAAAGCTTCTATGGCTTCTTCTATGGAGAAAAAATTGAACACATCATTTTTATATGTAATGCTTATATGTAATTTTATATGTAAGTAATTTTCTATGTAAAAATGAACAAATATTTACATACACATTCCCAACTTCTAAACTATGCTCACTGACATAGAAATCTAGACTGATGAAAAGGAAACCCAAAGAAGCCATAGCACAAATGGCAGCACAAGCATCTCTTCTTCCAGGAAGATTAAAAAGAAACAAAATAGCAACATTAACCAAGGTAAGCTATATGTTCCATCCTGATATGCTAATCTGCCCTTGATGCAGCCATGAATTTAATTTATGCCATCACACTATAATTTGTACTAATGATGCAAAAAACAACTTTTCAAGTGTTCAGTTTGGACACACTGCCTAAACTTGGGATCCGTGCAGATCTCCCAGCTGCTATGGGACTGACTGGCTACAGCTTACTTGATTTACTTGATCATGCGGTAGCATGTCTTTTTTTTTGCATTGGGACCAGCGAATCAACTAGATGAATCTAGGATCCCATCCAGGTGTATTATATATAATTCTACACTCATCGTATAACAGATTTTGCATAAAGATTTAGAAGAATGCCTTTGTGCCCTTTGGAAAGTTGACAAAATAAGGAGAAACGTTTGTACTTGCAAGCATAGCTTAAGACATGAAAGAAAAAGACAGACGGTGTCTCTCCTACAAAACGAGACCACATTCAAGATGCGTAGGCAGAAGAATTATCTTTTCTAAATTAGGAGTTACAGCTGGAAAAATCAGACAAAGCTGCTGAGCAACATAGTCCTCCGGTGAATCTGAAAGAGAAACGCTTCGAAAACTACACTGTGCAGGCAGAGAACGATTATGCAGACTTAAGAGATTAGTAAAATCAGCTTTGGGAAAAAAAAAAAAAAAAAGCAGTAAGAACAGAAAGCTATAAAAAGTTTGTGAGTGGACATGTTTCCTCATCACTTTTGATAATGTTCTACAGTTTGGCCGAGGCAAAACTCCCACTAACACAGACACGCCTTGTGAAACTATTTTTCACGCAACAGGTGGCCTTGGTGACATATTTGTGTTATACTACATTTATCCAAAAAATTGTCGTACCAGGCAAAACAGAAAAAAAAAAAAAAAAAAAAAACAAAAAAAAAAAACACCAAAAAACAAAAAAAAAACCCAGTAAATTGAAGAGCTTCCTAGAACTGCTCAATGGGGTTTGGGTTTCTTTTTGCTTTTTTACAAATGAAATGTTACCATTATTAATACATTGTCCCAAACTCTGGTTTCTTAGACTCCACGGGGGGGGGGGAATACACGAATTCGCACTTTCTCCTCTGGTTGAAATAATTCGATAACCGCTTGCTACCTTCAGCCTTCTAGTCTCAAGCAAGGGTCGGGCTCAGTCCCCGAAGGGACTCGCAGCATGATCAACCTCAGTTTTTCCACTGCTTTCAAGTCTAGCCTATGTCTTACTTGTCTGGTTCCTAGCACTGTAAATCCTATCTGTTCCTGGAGGAAGCTCCAGCAAGCCTTAACTGAAAACAGGGCTTGGAACACAAATCCACTATGAAGTTTAGTGCAAACTTTCCGAACACACCTTGGCCGGACCACCTCTCCTCCCCTCCCCTCCCCTCTGTTGGGAGCAGGCAGCACTAATTTAGAACAGAAGCAAAACACGCACCCCGAGGTACAGCCCTCCCGGCAGGTATTTATTCCATTGTTCACTGCAGCAAGTACTATCTTGACTACACATTAAAAGAGGTAATTGCTGCATTTGCAAAGCCTGGAACTAAAGCAAGGAAGAGGGAAATAATAATACTCACATAGAGGAACTCCACATGACAAGGCCCAGTGGACTACAATAGCTTTCATCGCGCAGAGGGGCTGCAGCTCTGAGCAAAAGCACACGCACAAGAGGTTCAAGCACTGCCTGTTGCCGCCAAACACCGCACACCAATATGCTCACCCACCCATAGCTTGGGAAGTCTCAACGGCCACCCATTGTCTGAAGTGCTCTGCTCAAATCCAACTATTTCATTTAAAGTTTCTTTTGTGCCCACTCACAGTGCTAATGAATTAGCAGATTTTTGGCTTCATTTTGCAATGCTGAATAGATCTAGGCAAGAGCGAATATTCTCTATGTTTTAAGTATTACATAATTCCTGAGTAGTTTCAGCTATGTGACTTATTGGACCACTTCAGTTTCATGTATCATTCCAGCTCCCCACAAGAAGCTGCACAGTTTAACAAAGTTTTTGCCAGCATCTAAGTACAGTCCCTTTTCCAGTTTCTTCTGGAGTGCAGCTCACAGTCCTTCACAAGTCAGGAACTGAGGGCAGTTAAAAAGATGACTATGCGAGTACTGTAACTAGAACAGCAGGATGCTGCAAGAACAGTGGCACAAGATATTCTTGCACCCTGCAGTTTAAGTTGCTCTTACAGACAGCTTTTTCCTTCCTTAGTTTTTATCTGAGATGCAACTACTGATACTGTGGTAATGATATACGGCATTTTTAACATGTCAGAGGGACAGGAAGGAGGTACACAACTCCAGTCTGCTGAAGTATCTAAGAATCTGTATGCTGTTGCAATTTAAACTATGGACAGAAAAAAAAAAAAAGACAAATTTGATCACATATCCCTTTCATCCTTGTAGTGGAAGGCTGACTGCTGCTCACATATATTACCAGAACATTCAAGTACCAAAAAGTATCTTTTACCTGCTATTACAGAGGAGAAAGAATGGAAAGACAACGTTGCCTCAAAAACAACGTTGTTATGACATATATGGAACTTCAGATATTTTCCAATATAAATAATTTTGTAGTCCTTCTGGGCGTCTGTCCTACCCTTAGTTTCCGAGGCTGTCGGACATCAAACCTGCCCAGAGGGCTGGAAGCCTCAGGTACAGTACCGTTTTCCCAGAGCATGCATAACTAGCAACTAGGCAGGCAAAAGACAGCCAGATACTTGAACTGCAGCAAAGGCTGCCGTAAGGATTATGCATTAAAAGACTCCATGCTCCCCACCCCACATGAGGGTGTTTGTTGGCGATCACAGATCAGCCACTACAGACACCTGTAGAAAGCTAGAGTTCATTACACTGGACATTCACAGAGGGGAAAAAAAAAAAAGAACAAAATCACTGAAACATTTAAAGGCAGATCAATCAAGACTACTACTAAACATTTCATAAAAGATTTATTTAAGTATCATTTATCACAAAGAGGAAAATACATGTAAGATTAGAGGCATGCAACCATCTTCAACATTTCTATGTTTTTCTTGCACTCGCAGCACATTGTAATACAAACTCCCGTGCCAAACTCACTTCTTCCTGAAAAATACTGGTTCAAGACATACAGTAACAAAAAAAAAATCCACAATAAGGTAAGATAACATATGAGAAAAGTGCAAAGTAAAAAAAAAAAAATAAACAAACGAAAAAATCACGTATATACCACATTCAAACCCCCTCCCCCTCCAAAGAGTGGATAAAGGCAAACTCATTTTGCTGCACGATTAGATTGTCCTTATGAACTACTTTACAAAAAAATTAATATAAATTAAGGGCACAATCCTGCAGACACTTATGTTCATAGCTAACATTTGTCACAGACTGGCTCGACTGATATTATTAAAAGCCAGAAGTTAGTTACATGCATAAGTTCTTGCATTGTAAGGCCCTAAGGCAATAAAATGTTTAAGAGCATTAAGGAGAACAAAAATTAAAGTAAATAGAAAATCATTCCCAGATGTGTTGCTTAATAAGTTTATATCAAACATATTTTAAACAGAACAGTTTGCTCCTAAAGCCCTGAATATTTCTATTACTTAAGCAGTTTTGCAAGATTAAAAGACAAAACTCCCAAGAAGCTGGTACAGATATTAATTAACATAACAGTTTCTTCAGGCAGGTATGTAAGGAGGTGGAGGTTCCTTCTCTGGCATCTTCACCGCCATTTCATAGGTTGGCAGAACATACTAAAGAAAAGACATTTTAACAAGATTAACGCAGAAGGTTTAGGAAAAAAAAAGAAACAAAAATCCATATATGCCACACTAGCAATTTAATTCTCTTGCAGGCAAATTTTTACAAGAACTCATTGATGTTTCCACACAGCTAATGAGGATGAAGTGAAAGAAGGTAAAAGTAATTTACTACTCTGGCAAACCTAACCCAAGGTCATTAATTCCATCCCATTGCCTTTGTTTTGCAAGCAAAGAGGATGGTTTTGACAGGTGGAATCAGAAAGCTTCCCTCTGCTACATGGGGGAGGGGGGGATTTAAGATTTTCCCCTCTACCAAAGCCTGCTCTTTTATACACTCTAAGAACATAACTCAGAAGCAATCCACCTTAACGTTAGCTGTTCTAACTTTTGAAATCTTTCTAGTCTCTGTTTAGAAAGCTGGACAAGACTTGCAAACTTCTATGCACACTGTTCTTCTGCTTCAAAATTAAACAGCTGTAGTTGCTTTCACCTAGAGAAAAAAAAAAGATATTACCTGTGGAGGAGCTTCAAAAGCAGGGTACACAGCTATCTCCGGCAAATTTCTGTTGCTGATGTATTTATAGCAGTTCCATACACAGTTAATTAGATATGCCTGAAACAGATTTGTCTTTTTTATATCTCATATCCATTAGCTTATGCAGAAATAAAACACTAGGTTACAGTCACAGAACAAAAAAAAAGCAGTAAAAACAAGCTGAATCAATATACCTGAGAGATAGCCCTTAATTAATAGATTTTGGCACATACCTACATTGTCTCCATTTAGCCTTGCTATCAAAGCGATTCAGACAAGATGAACCATGTGCTTTTAGTAAAAGAATCTGCAGATCAATTCAACTCATCTATTTGCCTCAGCAGTGCTAATCAAGTTATTCCCTGATTGACTTATGCGTCTGTGAATCCGAGTCCAAGTTGCCAGTACAAGGAAGACAGGCCAACAGCATGCTGCCATTTCTCTTTGATTATCATCAGTATTCGTCAAGTTGGCCGTGCAAAGGGGAGGGCAAGAACGCACAGTCAGAGGTGGAAAAGAGAAGAGGATATGGCAAACTAGCCTGAACTTCAACCCAATATAAAATGTTGTGGAATCACAAACTGTCATGCTCCAATGAGGATTATGTTTCTATTAAACTGCACAACATTAATCTTTCTGTATTTTTCACTAGCAAATTAGTACATATTTATACACAAGGTATTGAATTTCAAAAAAGTCAATGCAAGAAATATCATCTACTACATTAGGTTTCCACTCCCTACCCCCAGTCAGATATTCTGCTTTGAGCAAGCAAAGAAAATAAGAATTCCTCTATTTTTTTTTTTTTTAAATCAAAGCTGAATGCTATTAAGAGTCATGGCTAACACACATTATGACCTCATTTTTCTAATGCTTTTGCCTACATACGAGTTTTATAATTCAGATGAACGTCTCTGTATTTATTTCCTTCAAAACAGAAGTAACTGGTAATACGACCCTTCTGCAGGAAGAAAGATGCACTAACCTATGCATTTCTTCCTTCCAAAATACATCTCCTGATTTGTTACATACAGTATGAGATTAAAAAAATTTGTTCAGAAAGCTTATATGCAGTAATTCAATATTGTTTCATTATAAGCTTAATTTTATTACTTATAAACGTTAAGTTTGTCTGTACATATGCAAAAGACTTTCAGGCTTTGTGCATTTCTATTGCCTATTCAAAGGCCATAAATGCATAAACATGCCCAACTGACCACAATATAAGTTTGTTGCAGACACCAGTACGTAAAAGACTGAAATTATAACGTAACAAAACATCATAACAATTCTACTCAAAGTAGTTCTTAACTCAGCACATGTCCATACATTGATAGCATCTTAATACAGTTAATTCATAAGACAAACACATGTTTAAATTTTAACTTACCTTCAAAATGATAAATAAAGCAAAGAACACAAGAACAATAAACAAGAGACAGCTGGAGTCCAGCGCAAGGAGATCATCTTTGTAAGGGAAATCCGGCTAATTGAGAAAAAGGGGAGGAGAAAGAAAGGGAGAAGAATGAGACAAGCATTAACAGCGTACTTTCACAAAGGTAAGAGGAGCACACCCAACCTTAGCACCACATGAAGCATCAAACTGTTGTGTAAACTACCACCATAGAAACAGTAAAAAGGTCAGTTTCTCACTTGCTTGCTCCATCTTTATCCTCCCACAAGGTATGACATTTATCCTGCCTCTGTCCTGCAAGAAACTTCAGAAAAGGGCTACCAATAAAGAAGCCTCGTGACCTTCTATGTGCCATTTCCTCAGCCTCATACTAATGAAGATCTCCATGAATCTTCTTTGCAAACAGCTGCAGACCCTCAGTCCCACCAAGGAAAAGCACAGCATTTGTATGAATTGTCCTCTATCTGATAACTCTTCAATGAGTCAGTACTGACTACCTCCAGTCAGGCCAACCAGTAACATCTGTGTGTTCAGTGGGAAGAAGTTCCCCTAAACTCCTTCAGAAGAGATACCAAAACAAAGTGAGCTTTCTGCAAAGTGCAAACACTTCTCTTCCCCTAAGCACAGTAACAGGGCCTCTCTCCAACATCCACTCAAAGTTTATCTCCACTTTAAAAGGAGTTCTTAAGCATCTGCTTGCACAGATCTAAACACCACCCAGAAAGAGCTTGCGATCCTTGCCAGTTAAGGATATATTCTATCCATGCAGTCGTCTTGCAGTTATAACACAGGCAATATTAATACCATTACAATTTTCTTAGAAGGTAATATTGCAAAATGAGAAGAGCCACATATAGCACAAAAAGGAACCCTCAGAGCATCCAATTCTATCCCATGATGTTGTAGACCCCCACCTCATAAGTCCTTTTA